CTGCAAACTTTGTAAGCATTGATTGCGCCTCCACAGGTCTTATAGATGCCCATTAAGCCTCCACAGGTTTGCAGACCCAAAGTTGGCCTCCAAGGACTTTGGACATCCAATCTTATATGAGGCAGATATCTAAAACACTATATTTTTACACATGCGTATCATGATTGAGGAAAGAGGACATCAAAAGACAAGTTTGGCTCTTTTGTCCTTTAAAGATGGCCCTAAAGGCATTTCAAATATATTCACAACAATACTTTATTGCACATTTTCTACAAATTGAGCAACAGTTCTTTTTGCATTTCAGCAAACTACTGCAAAGAAGTGTAGCCCAGTTCAAAGTGTCAGATGCCACAGTACTTCTCTCCAGTGCTTCCAATTATTGACTGAATAGCTGTGATTAAAAGGCCAAGAATTTATGAAACTAGCATTCAATATATGCACCTCTGATTCCTATTAAACTAAACTAATGATTATAAAGAGATCTGCTTTGCAATGCATGCAATCTTCTTAAAGGAAAAAGTTTAGTGCCAAACAGAAACATGGGGCTGCAGTGGCTCAGCAGATTAAACTGCTAAGCTGTAGAATCTTGCATTCGCAAGATGGGGTGAGCCCCCATGGTTAGCCCCAGCATCTGCCAACCTAGCAGTTCAAAAATATCCAAATGTGAATAGGTCACAGGTACGAGGGGTGGGGACGAGGGAGAGGGCCTTCTCAGTTGTGACCCCCCTCTGGAACGCCCTCCCCAGGGAAATTAGACAGGCCCCATCCCTCCTCTCCTTTCATAAGAGCTTGAAGACTTGGTGGTTTCAACAAGCTTTTGAGAATGACTAGTTCTAGCTCAGCCCTAGACATTGAATATGGCCTTATTCTTCCTACCATTTACCCAGGTCACTTCCTCTAATACGCCACGGAAATGAACAGCCATAGACCTGTACCTATTATTGTTGTTGCCTGCTATAATATAATTTTTGAGCTTGCACTAATCTTGGCCCGGCCTTTTAAATTGCCTTGAACAGGCAGGATTACTTTTAATATATATGTGTTATGGCAACATTTTTTATGCTTATATTGTTTTGTTATTCTTATGGTTATGTTGTTTACTCTGTATGTATTGATGATGTTACTTGGAAACCACTCTGAGTCCCCTCGGGCAGATAGAGTGGGATATAAATAAAGTTTTATTATTTTTTATTATTATCAATAGGTACTGCCTCGGCAGGAAGGTAATGGCACTCCATGCAGTCATGCCAGCCACATGACCTAGGAGGCATTTATGGACAATGCTGACTCTTCAGTTTAGAAATGGAGATGAACACTACTCTCCAGAGTTGGACTCAACTAGACTTAATGTCAAGGCAAAACCTTTACCTTTAAACAGCAACATATTAGTATTTTTTTCAAAATATGAGACAAAGCTTGTCAGGCATATTTATTTGTTTTTAAAAATCTAGCATATTGGTAGAAATCCAAACCTCAACTCTTTGGGGTGACATGTTGGTCTTGTGGTATGGCACTCTGTGTAAGTTGGATCACAGTCAAATATAATAAGCCTCACTTGCCTTCCAAAATGGCTTACTTGCCCATTCTGATTCATGACCATTGCTGATACAACAGAGAAAACAGGGTCCTTCATTTATATAATGGTGCCTCAATCCATCCCTATTTGCTTCACAAACCTTTGGGAATATTCTCAAAACATTTAACGTTGATTCAGTGTCGCTGTCAATGTTTGAGAAAGTCTGTAAAAGCATTAGACGTGGTTTAATTGGAATGTTTCTGAGACAAATGGACATCTGTATGACTTCATCCAAGAAAAGAACATCAGTACACTTCCAGATCTGAAAGTTCTTATAAGAAATCACTGAAAAAAGATCAATAAAATATAATGAAAGCTAAGGCTAACAAGTAACAACTTTCACAGCGAATATATAGGGAAAGAGAGTGAGGAATTACACTATGTAACATGATTTTTGTTACTGGGTTATAAATGTCATTTCCTAATTGGTTCTATCATAAAAAATGGAAAAAAGTTTATTAGATTGCAAAATCTTTGTTTTTGTGGGACATTCTACAGCAATTTTTGCTATAGTTTTTCAGTGAATATCTCACAGAATCTCAAACAATCCAACATAGTTTGCGGCAACCACAAAAATGAAGTTTCTGGAGTTTAGCAACTACTTTCTAAGTAACTGCACAATTAAACAGGAAACAACACTTTCAAACTAGAAGCAGAAAACGTTTCAAGAAAGTCCGATGTAAGCCATAAAATGTGCTTTAGCGGATTCAAATCTAGGGTGAAATGGGCTCCATAAAATGCAGAGCACATTGTAGACACCCATCCCTGCTGAAGCACAATAAAAATCCTGAATGGAGACTGCAAAATGCTGCAAGGGAATGGCTGGCTAGCAGGGGACTAGGTGACCTCCTGAATGGGGTAATTGATTACCTCTGCTGCAAACTATTACATTCTCTTTTTTCATCATGTTAGCCTCCATTGCGCTGATGGGCATCTCTCTCGGAAATTGGGGAGTAGGGGGGAGGGGGAGGCCCTGTGATAAATGTAATCACTTTCCAGACCTCAAACTGGTTCCAGTTATGGCAATCTGATCACTAGATTAGTGAAGCTGGTTCCTTCCAAACCAGTTACAAGCTGCATTATGGTGTCAGTATAGAAAGGGCCTTTGTTCCCTTTCAGATTTGCAAAGAATTGCATCCCAAGATCTGTAATTGATTTCCATTAGATCAGCAAGTATATTTTATTCCCAACTGCACTCCCCAGCTTTTAACTTGAGGTGCTTGTGCCCTCCTTGCCTTTGGCCAGTTAAATCCAGATGACACCAACACTGACCTATTCAATATAGTTTCACTCATCTATTTAAAATGCCACAGCCTGGAACTTGGCTTATTTTCATTCAAGTGGTTTCCCCGCTACATGATATAGCATGAACTTTGCTTCGGGATATGAGTAGAAATTCTTTGTTATGCCCATATTAGTCAAAGACACAGTTTTTTCAACTACTTTATGCTGTATTAGATTGGTTCCCAATTGGTATATGTGATTTGGAATTTTCTTTTGCAACTGGCACAGTGCAGGCCCTCAGGTGTCATATTTTTCTGGAACATCACAAGTTGAAGGGATTCACCCACATGCCTTTCATTCCTGGCCAGTCTGAGGGGACAAGTGAAGTGGTTCTTTGTTCCACATTAAACCCCATATGAGAGTGCTAACCAGTGTCACTGGGAGAACCCAATGAGCATTTTCAGGTCCGCTTCAGGGAGAACAAGTCATGACGTCTTGTAGTGACTTCCATTCCTGGTTTACAGGTGAAGAGCACGATAAACCCAATTTACTTGGACCTCCTAGAACAGTGGTTCTCAACCTGTGGGTCCCCAGGTGATTTGGCCAACAACTTCCAGAAATCCCAGCCAGTTTACCAGGGAGTTGAAGGCCAGATTATCTGGAGGCCCACAGGTTGAGATCCACTGCCTTAGAAGGAAGTATCCACATGTCCCATCCTGCTGTTGTGTTAGGGAATCCTGATCAACAAAAAATTGTGACTATTATGACACTGTTGTCCAGCACCATACCTCAAGATGAGAGAACAACTGCTTAGCAACAGCTATGCCCCCATCCCCTGCCCACCGAAGAAATCACTGTAGCATTGAAATTATGGTAAATAGAACTAACCAGAAGAATTGTACTGTGTAGGAAGACTGAGACATCCTGTCAGTGCTAGCATTGAAAACATATTCACAAATTCTGAATTCTTTAACTCCAAGTTTATGATTTTTGCACCATGATCTAGTTCAGGGGTCCTCAAACCTTTTAAACAGAGGGCCAGGTCACAGTCCATCAAACTGTTGGAGGGCCGGATTATAATTTGAAAAAAAACATGAATGCATTCCTATACACACTGCACATATCTTATTTGTTGTGCAAAAAAAAAACACTTAAAAACAATGCAACAATTAAAATGAAGAACAATTTTAACAAATATAAACTTATTAGTATTTCAATGGGAAGTGTGGACCTGCTTTTGGCTGATGAGATAGGATTGTTGTTGTTGTGTTCTTTCAAGTCGTTTCAGACTTAGGTTGACCCTGAGCAAGGGCTGGGTAAATTACCTTGTAGGGTCGTATTCGGCCCCCGGGCCTTAGTTTGAGGACCCCTGATCTAGTTGATGAGTCTAAAATTTTCTGGGTATGTATTTTTAGATCCCAAGAGTTCGACCTCTGGCCTGCTACAAGTTTAATTTGGATTTTACCCCCCCCCACCACCACCACACCTGTTGTTTGTTTTCTATATTTTCACAAGTAGTTAATCCAATGGCATAATCGAATTCTTATTCCATCTGGAAATTGAACTTTGGCTGCACTTAGATGCAATCTCCTCATTTCTCCGAAACATGATATAGAGCAGTGGTTCTCAAGCTGGGGTCCTCAGATGTTTTTGGCCTACAACTCCCAGAAATCCTAGCCAGTTTACCAGCTGTTAGGATTTCTGGAAGGCCAAAAACATCTGGGGACCCCAGGTTGAGAATCACTGATATAAAGTATGAGGAAATGATAACTCACTTGCATATTTTCCCAAAGCTGCCTCTTCCATTTGGCTTACTTTAAGTCTGGGAAACGTTTGCTGTTAGATTCCTATTCTCATCAGTACCAGGTAGCATGGCAATGGTGGTGAGAGTAATATAATGATGTCTAGTAATCATGAATGTCTTCAAAACTGAATACTGGTAGAATTTCTTTCTGTTTGCCTATCCATTTGGATAATTACATGATGCCTGTATAGATCAGAAAAGCCACTTTTCTGAAAGACATCTCCCAGAATTCCACAGGTCATGATGATTGCAGAAAATCTGGAAGTTATATTCAATAAAGTAACATTTTAAATTTCTGCCTTAAGAGTATTCCTGACTTGCACTCAATTAAGAATACATGCAGTATCCTGATAGAATATTTTTCCAAAGGCTGCCAGAAACAGATGTGGTACTTACTGAGCAGCTTTTATCCGCATTCCTTTTCCAGTGCTTTTTTTCCTGTTTTCTTGCTGCAGTTGAATTCAAAGATGCATGAGTTTGTTTGCGGGGGTTTAAAGCTAGGATATTCTGCAGACAGAGAAAAAGATATTTTCTTTTTTAAAAGCAGAAGTTCAAAGTTCAGAATGAAGCAACTGAATATTCTCATTTATATTCTTACTTATCAAATTACTGAAGTGTATCACTTGAACACATTTTATCAAAAAGTAAAAACACAGCTCTGTGTGTATATAAAGATTAAAAGTAAGCAAGCAATCAGCCTGTCTGCCTAGTCTTTTCTCCTACAGATTCTGTGAATCTGGATCCTTCAGTATTCAGAGGGTACAGATTTTGTTTGCCACAGAAATTATGTCTTGCCTAGATATTATTGTTCTGCAACTATTTCCATTTCAGGTTCTATCTACACCTATTAGATAAATCTATGGTAAATGTGACATCTCCAGCAGAACTGTGGTCACTCATGTTAAGTTGACCCAGAGTAATGGCTGGATGCAGAAGTCCTGGTACAAATTCAGTCATGTGTCATATGAACTCCCTGTTGAGTAATTTCAAAAAGGAAAAAAATAAAATGTAAATCAGCAACAACAGCAGTAGCAGATCAGAAGGCTCTTGAGCATAGTAGTAAAACAAATGAGCTTCAGTAATACAGGATCAGAGTTAAGCTTTAAAAGTTCTAAAACACTTGGTTCTGTTCCATTATCCTGGAGAAGGCCACAAGGGGGTGCTAGAGAGAGAAGGAGAGTCCATTTTACGGGAGGGGGGGAGTTGAAGGAGGAAAACAATTTCCCCTTTTTTTTTCTCTGGTTATTCCCCCCCACCATTCCCATATCATAAACTAGGGTTGTTTCCACGATGGGAAACGTGGGTAGGGGGAATACGAGGAAACAGGGGGAAATGGTTTTACTCCTTTAACCCCCCCCCAATAAAATGGACTATGCTTCTCTGTCTAACACCCCCTTGTGGTTACTGCATGGATAATGGGATAGAACAAAATAATTTGTTCAAAGAACTACATTACTATATGGGAAAGTTAAGGCCTAGCAATCTAACTCTCTGAAGCAGACATCTTGTCTCGCTCCATGCTCACAGGAAAAGTAGAAAATGGCAGACTCAGGGGTTTGCCATATGATCACAACTTGAGAGAAACAAAGAGGTTGTCCCTGAGAAGTATCAGTCTAACAATCAGGAGAGAAAGAGAAAGAGAAAGAGGGAAAGAAAGAGGCAAACAAAGAGGGCAATGGTGGAAGGGCTTTCCCTGCCAGCTTACTCAGCTGCTTATCTCCTTGTTGAGGACTATAAACTTGTGCAGGATGTGTTTGCATTCCAACACTCCCCACAGAAGCTGAGTAGCAAATCCACTTTATTTTGGTCATGTTAACATGATTTAAATTCAATATATACTGATTATAGACATTTATTTCTTACTGGTATAAATAAAATACTTTCTTATGGTTAAAACTAGACATTTTTGCAATACTGCCATGTGGATTCAGTGTTGCAAACAAGTAAATAAATAAATATTGCTTTCTACGCTACATGGTAAAGTTGTTCAGTTGTCAAAAAAGTTCCACGCAACTGCTTCTATCTTTTAAACATGTTAACCAATGGCCTCATTTTGTTCCTGGTACATCTGAAACAACCCCAATCTGAGGCAGACCACCTTCAGATCAACCTCTTAGGTAGTGCATTGCAGCAAACACAATGATTCATATGACATCTTTTGTTAGCCTTTGTGGTGCCACGGGAACCCTCTTGTTTCTATAGCACTTTAAAAGAGTAAGATGTTATTCTAAACACTGAACAGAATGCCAATAACATTCAAAACTGATCCCCTGCTGTGAGGTTCTGATGTTAAATGGAGCAGGGCAGTTGACTTCACATCCATGGTTGCCCTCGTGTCACTGCCATTAACAACAGTGTGTAGTTATTTAAATATGTAATGTAGTTATTCACACATTGTTCTTCAAAAGAATACACAGATGCAAAATTTAAGGGACCTTCCACAAATAAAAGTTTTGCAAGTAAAAAGAAGTTCAACAGGTGTAGAATGAGAAGCTCTGTATATATGTGTGTATGTACTGCTTTTCAAGCCACTTGACAACTTTTAGAGTACCCACAAAGCTACACCCACCTGAATCCCTTCATTTTCACAAGCACCTAGTCTTCTTCACATTCAGTTATGTTATTCTTTACATAAAGCTTTCCAAGGAGAGTCTAACAACAATAGTAATAAAACCATAAGTACAAGTAAAATGCCCAATAAAAAGGAAGACGTGGCAGAGCACAAGAAAATTCTGGTGTGAAAACCTCATAAACAAATAACAACCCAAACTCTTTGGCAGATAAAAAGCTTATCACTTGTTGCCAACAATAAAACAAAGACATAAATCCAACTGTTAGTCTCAACAAAAGTAGATCCACTGAATCAATAGGATTTACATAAGCCACGTATAAGGATTATTCTGGAACGATCAAGTAGTAGAAGATTTTAAATAATTTGAATTTATCAGACAGGGCAAGATATAGAAATAATTGCCCCTCACTGCTTCACCAATTATAAGGAACCTGGGGAAAACTATACCAGCCGATTGCCATCAATTATAAGGAACTTAGGGAAAGGAACAGGAGGTTTTAAAATAGTGAATCCCACAAGCTGCCAACCAAATTATATATAGGTGCAGGGGAATTATTAAAACCAGGAAAGAGGCAACTGGGAGATCTTGAAACTGTTTCTTCAATTGTTTTTGCTGCCACCTTTTTGTTTGGTA